GTGCGAGGACGGTGGCGGGACGGTGGGAGTACAATGGGAGTACGGTGGGAGTACAATGGGAGTACGATGGGAGTACAATGGGAGTATGGTGGGAGTAAGCACTCTGAAAATTTCGCTTTTTCCCCCTTGTAAGCAACTCATATTTTCAACTGGCTTGTTTTCTGGTCCTATTGCAGTCGCCGTTGGTGATTTCAACAATGATAATCGACTGGATCTTGTCGTTGCCAATTTTTACTCTAATAATGTGGGCGTTCTTCTTGGATATGGTGATGGAACATTTACGAACCCAATTACATATTCAACCGGTGATGGTTCTGCACCGCGGGCTATCAACATTGGTTATTTCAATAATGACACTCGACTCGATATTGTTGTCTCGATGGCTCTTAGTAACCAAATAGGCATTCTTTTAAATGTCGGAAATGGATCTTTTACAAATCCAGCAATGTTTGACATTGAAGCATCATCTTATCCTGTGGGGATCGGGGTTGGTGATTTGAATAATGACAATTGGACGGATGTCATGGTCGTCCATAAATTCCTTCCGAATATCGCTATTTTTCTCGGCTCTGGTGAAAGAATCTTTGCATCACATAACATATATTCAACTGGTACTGATTCTGGACCACGATCTGTCGCTGTTGCCGATTTCAACAACGATAAGATACTAGACATCGTTGTTGCAAATAGTGTTAGTAGTAATATCGGTGTGCTTCTGGGATACGGAGATGGAACTTTCAAAAATCAAACGACACATGTAACTGGTGTTGGTTCTTCTCCATGGTCAGTTGCTGTTGGTGATTTCAATAAAGACTTTCTGATGGATATCGTCGTCGCCAATCGTTATAGTGACAATGTAGGTATTTTGTTTGGATCCGGAGATGGAACTTTTGGATATTCACGAACGTATTCAACTGGTCCTTTATCTATACCACTCTCAGTCGCTGTTGCCGATTTCAACAGGGACAACACACTGGATATTGCTGTCGTCAATTATTATGCTAGTAATCTACGTATTTTCTATGGAGATCGAAATGGAACGTTTGATGACCAGAAAATTTATGGAATTGGTTATAAGTCTGACCCGTTGACAATTACTGTCGGCGACTTCAACAATGATAACTGGCTGGATATTGCAGTGATCATCCAAGGCACGAACAGCATTGAAGTACTTTTAAAGAAGTGTTAGGAGTATGCTCAATTGCTCAAACTTCTTTCTTTCTTTCTTTTTTTCTTCTGACTGGAATTCAATTGATGTTAATATGTCATGAACTTGTTTACTTTTTCAGAAGAGGATTTATAAATAATGTTATATACACAATAATTGACGCGATATTGAAAAATTCTTCTTTTTTTTATTTTGATTTTTCATCTGTGGTGAGTCATTTATTAAAATGTTTCCAAAAGAAGAACAATGTATTGTCAATCAGTGGTCTAATTATTTCATTGTTCTGCATTCACCTTCCACTTGTGTAATATTGTTTTTGGTATTAATTCTATGACTTCGTTTATATTTCATTCGTGCAAGATTAGCTTACTTCTTTTCTATTCAATTCTATTGATCATGTTCAGTAATTGAAAAGAGTAGAATCGCACTGTTAGTGTGTTGTCATTGAAAATTCTATACAAGTGTAACATACTATTCTTTTCTTTTCTTCTCTCTCTCTCTCTGGATGAATAAATATATTTTTATAAAAAGTCCATTCAATAAAGATTGAAAGTTACGATTGACTGATTTGTGATTATTCTTTCATCGAGTATTTTTCGAATAGAAATTAGTTTTGTTAAAATCTCAAATCTGTTCATCAAATCGGAAAATATTTCATTTTTATCAAGAGAAAATTCTAAACGAAGAATTGTGTTTTTGTGTTTTGAAAAATTTAGAGATTGTGTTGTATTCTATATTTAACAAAAAGAAATTTTGATTAAAAAAAAAACAATTTGATGCCTAAAAATACAGTTAATTAAATGCAGATTTGAAAATAAATCAAATTCTTTTAGATAATAATTTAAATATAAAAAGTAACTTTTTGCTAGAAAATAAATGATTTTATGTTACAATAATGATCAGGGTGGGTGTGGGTGTGGGTGTCAGTGTAGATGTCGGTGTTTATTCACTGCTGACACTTCCACGTCCACACCCAACCACACCCACACC